GGACTCAAATGCAGCAGAAGGAACTGTTCCACCCTGCTGCCATTGAATGTTCACTTCCTGTTTGTATTGACTTGGGCTGCACCGCTCGGGACCCTTGACAATGGTGGCAGCAGTGGCGGTCAACTAGTCAGCAGTGAAGTCAAGGAAATGGCTGCCATTGTAGCCTCCAAGCCTTTCACTGTTTCTTCCTTCATAAGCTCAGCAAAGAATTTTCTTTCTAAGACAGCTGAAAAGGTTTTCCATATTCTAGGAAGTCAACCACTTTAATTGATTTTGGTTCTTTAAAAAAGTGCCGTACAAAAGTCAAAACCAAATCAGGTAAAGAATTTAAACAGAAGCTCCACCTTCCTCAGTAAAGTTTCTTTCTTATATAAAAATGCAAATGTAAAAGCCAAACAATATTAAATGGTGACATGAAATACTTATATCACATAAAATTAGTATAATGAATATAAATATTTGTGAGCTGGAAGAAGCAGTCATGTTTTCACCCATGATTTAAACGTGTATCTGCCAGCTGATACTGGGACACAACCATCACCCTAGGATTACAGTGGCAACAGGTTTTTGGGCTGCTCATTTGAGTTTTGTCAGGGAATTAAGGAGCTTCTTCTGACGTTCTCCTCACCGTGGCTGCTTGTGCTAAAGATAAAGCTAAACTAGAAACTTGGTCTATGTGATTCTGCCTACTTTAGTCCAACTAGAAAAATCACTGAGACGATAAAAAGGCCAACAGTTGTAAAAGTACAATGACTGGCAATGCAGACAGTACTTCTGCCTGCTCTGTGGATTTTCACTAAAGTAATATACTGTAAATAGTCAGGCGAACATACCTTTCCTTTGCAGTTTTTCCCTCATTTTCATCTATCTTTTCTCGGCTCGAGAGGGATGTGCTTTTTTTTTTTTTGCAACAGAACCTTCCTGCTGCTTCTTCCATGTAACCTAACATTAGAGTCTGACAGACTGTGCTTGTGGCAAAATGCAATTAATGGCATTACAGTGCTCATATGCAACAACAAGTTCTCTTGTGGGACATTTCTGTGGGCCCTCTGGCAGCTGTGGGGCCCTAAGCAGGTGCTTAGTTTGCTTATGGCTCTGGTGAGACTTCACAGCGATGGGAGAGGGGACAAGAGCACTAGCAGGTTACTGAACATGAGACGGAACACAGCTGCTATATAACTCTAACCACTGAGTTTCCTGACCCACTAATGCAGTACAGTCAGTCCAGGCCTGTGAGACAGGGATATGTAGTGAGTGAGAGTGCCCTGCTATCAGCAAACACCCGACCAACAGCAGGTTTTTGGCTGTGATAGGCTGAAATCCAATCTCATAACTCCACTGTGATGGGAGGATTTCTTCATAGAGCTGTGCATGGGCTTGAAAGCAGCATTCTTCACATGCACAACTCCATCACAGGGCCCTTTAAACGCCGGTGTACCAAATCTAAACAGGCCCAGCTGCATATTGTCATGATTTGATTATTTGTCTTAACTGCCCCTAAATCCTGCCTCATCTACTTCACTAAGAACCTTTAAACATTTTTCAGAGAAGATGCGACTGAAAGAAGCTTAAAAAGAACACTTACAGGATTTTTGGCTGCTTGTCAGCAGTAAGTAGCTGTTATCCCTGATGCAAAACAAGGTGCAACAAGTTCAGTTTCTGTCTCTGTACCAAAAACTTTAGAACTTCAGTGTCTGATACAAACCTCAATTCCAATGAAGTTGGGACATTGTGTAAAATGTAAAAACAGAATACAATGACTTTCAATCCCTCTTTGACCCATATTTAATTGAATACACCACAAAGACAAGATATTAGATGTTCACACTGATAAACTTTATTGTTTTTTTTGTAAATATTCACTCATTTTGAATTTGATGCCTGCAACACGTCCCAAAAGAGGTGGGACAGGGATATTTTTACCACTGTGTCACATCACCTTTCCTTTTAACAACACTTATTAAGCGTTTGGGAACCCTTTTCCTCTTTAGCCCTAAAGGACACGATGTCCATGATTTCCAAAAACTGATGGAGTCATCAGACCAAAGCACACTTTGCATCAGTCCATCTCAGGTGAGCTCAGGCCCAGAGAAGTCGGTGGCGTTTCTGGGTGTTGTTGATGTACGGCTTTCGCTTTGCACGGTAGAGTTTTAACTTGCACTTGTAGATGTTGTGACGAACTGCGTTAACTAACAGTGGTTTTCTGACTTGTTCCTGAGCCCACGTGGTAATATCCTTCACAGAATGATGTCTGTTTTTAATGCAGTGCCACCTGAGGGATCAAAAGTCATGGGCATTCACTGTTGGTTTACTGCCTTGCTGCTTATGAGCAGAGATTTCTCTGGATTCTCTGAATCTTTTGATGATATTATGGACTGTACATGATGAAAGACCTAAATTCCTTGTAATTGTACATTGAGAAACGTTGTTCTTATGCAGTTGGTGAACCGTGCCCCATCCTTGCTTGTGAATGACTGAACTTTTTGGGATGCTTCTTTTATACCCAGTCATGATGCTCACCTGTTTCCAATAAACGTGTTCACCTGTTCCAAACGGGTGTTTTTTGAGCATTCCTCAACTTTCCCAGTCTTTTGTTGCCCCTGTCCCAGCTCTTTTGAAATGTGTTGAAGGCATCAAATTCAAAATGAGTGAATATTTGCAAAACAAAGTTTATCAGTATGAACATTAAATGTCTTGTCTTAGTGGTGTATTCAATTAAATATGCAAGCAATCAAAATTTATTTATATAGCACGTTTCTAAACCTACGTTACAAGGTGCTTTACAGTAAAACATAAGTAATAAAAATAAAACACATCTACACAATAAAACAATAACAGCAAAAATGCATAATCAAAACAAACATCAATCAGTGAAGTTGTTAAAAGCCTGTGAATACAAATGCATTTTAAGAGGTGATCTAAAAACAGTCCGGTTTGGAGCAGATCTAATATCCCGTGGCAGACCACTCCACAGTACAGGAGCCCGAACCGAAAAAGCTTGGTGTTCTCAATGTTTCAGTCTGGACTTCGGTACTTCCAGGAACAACTGGTTTTAATAAGCTAAATGTCCTCTCTGGAGCATAAAAACGTACAGGCTCAGAGATGTACGACAGTGCTAGACCATGTACAACCTTATAGACAAACATCAACAATTTAAAATCAATCCTAAAACGAACAGGAAGCCAATGGAGTGAGGCAAGAACTGACATGCTCATGATGCCGTTTTTGGATTTTGGACCAACTGGAGCCGGGACAATAAAGCTTTAGAAATGCCAGTATAAAGTACGTTACAATAATCTAGTCTCGAGCTAATAAAGGCATGAATTGCCTTTTCAAAATCACTAAAAGAAAGTGTTTAACCTTACCCAGCAGTCTCAACTGAAAAAGGATGGTCTTGACCACAGATTTTATCTGTTCATCCAGTTTAAGAGCACTATCAAATACCACCCCAAGATTCTTCACGAGGCCTCAGATAAGAGGCCAAAGAGCTAGGAATATCAGAATTAGCAAAACCCAAGTTACCAATTAAAACACACCGTCTTACAGCTTTAGAAATGCCAGTATAAAGTACGTTACAATAATCTAGTCTCGAGCTAATAAAGGCATGAATTGCCTTTTCAAAATCACTAAAAGAAAGTGTTTAACCTTACCCAGCAGTCTCAACTGAAAAAGGATGGTCTTGACCACAGATTTTATCTGTTCATCCAGTTTAAGAGCACTATCAAATACCACCCCAAGATTCTTCACGAGGCCTCAGATAAGAGGCCAAAGAGCTAGGAATATCAGAATTAGCAAAACCCAAGTTACCAATTAAAACACACCGTCTTACTTTCATTAATATGTAAGAAATTATGTGATAGCCATGCTTTAATGTCCCTTTAATGTCAAAAAGGATTTGCAAGTCATTGTATTGTTTTAATTTACATTTTACACAATGTCCCAACTTCATTGGAACTGGGGTTTGTACATTTAGTAGCATCCACATGACTCCTTCACTTGGAGCTTTCTGAGGTTGGAGGCTAAGAGGCCCTCAGAGGCCTTCACTTCCCATGGAAACACTCCCCTCCTCACTCTTCTCTGGAGACGTTTCACGGTGCGTTCACATTCCTCAAGTGGGACAGATGGACTAAAGAGCCCAACAGCCTGCTGGGAAATCCACCTGATATTTCAACATTTCAGTGCTCCAGCCCATGTTATGTAACCACAGCACTGTACACTTGGCAGGGAAAGACTTGTATTGTATTGCATCTAAGAGCAAATGGTACTCCTGACTGCTTTCATTAAAAATTCCTGACTGGAGGAGGCAGAACGGCTTCAACCATCTGACTGAAGAAGCTTTTATAGCAACAGAGCAACACTTTCTAAAGCACACACACAACACCAACATATCCAGACACTGCCATAAGATGCACTACACCACAGCCTGTGTTACACAACATGGCAATAATAAATCAATCACAATAGTAAATCCATTAGCCATGATTCCGAAATGTTACACATTTTTGGTTACATACTGTAGAATAAGATCTGTAGACACAGCCAGATGTCTGATTCGCATAAATCTTGTCAAGCTTGTCATCATAAAAAACCTAAGATGAGATTTTTTTTTTTTAAAGTTTATATGTTGCCACATGAGGTTTTCTTTCAGGAATGTTTATTCAACCAATTTAAGAAAATTGTTCTTTATCTTTATAAGAACATTCACAAGTTTGTATATTTATTTAATGGAGGTAAAGATTTGTTTGTTAAATAAAACCAACTCGTTTTTTTTAGGTATTTGTATCATCTACTTTTGACTACACTATAAATTTATAGATAAAGTATCCAGTTTTAAAATGACCTTAAAGCAGTCGTGCTGACTGATTTACAACATTACCTGTAAGCCACTGATAGAGATCCAGTTATTAAAGGGATGTTAGCTTGGTGTAAACAGACTAAGACAACTGCACCAGCCGTAGCTCTAACTCATGCCCAGGAGAGGACCACACCCTCTGGCTCACCTGGTCACAGCCGGCATTGACCAGCTCCTGCAGCATCTGCCGATTCACCTCCCCAGCACCTGCTGGGTGCCCTGACCCGGAGGATGGACCCGACTCATTTGCGAAGGGCATGAGCGACTTGCGGATTTCCCGCAGTGCATTCTGGTAGTTGTTGAATTTCTGCGGGGGCCGGAGCTGCTGCTGTCGGCTGGCTGTGTCTTTACCACTCTTGCAGTCGGCCCCTCTGCCGCCCTCGGTTCGAGAACTGCCTCCGTGCAGAGCCTGGCTCACCAGCTTGGCCGGCTGCTTCAGGCCCTCCTTGATCTCCTGAAGCCTCTGGCGTGTGTTGCCCACATACGGGGCAGCCGGGAAAGTCTTTGGCCTCATGGCCTCAGTGCCCAGGGCAGGCACCTACTCTAAAAGGGAAACACACAAACTAGTACACACTCCCCCTTCCAAAGATCCTTTTTCAAGCTGTCTGACCTAAACAGATACGGTCTCCAGCAGCAGATTGGAGGCACAGATTGAGAGTCCTCCTCCGTGTCCCTTATTTGTCTGTGTCTCTCTTTGTGT